TATCTTGGACGCAATACCGCTATTATAAAACAACAGAGCGTTTTAAAAATTTGTTGGTTGATCTACGATTTAACATTTTAGTTCAAATCGCAGTTGAAGAGTAAAACGCTGTTAAACCATAACGGTGATTTATATACATACAACTGTGAAGTCCGATTTTTTGTTGCTTAAAATCAGGGACTGAGACTTTAATAGTTTTAACGGTTTAGGTAGGGGTTCGGGTTTTTAAAATATTTTTTTAGGGGTTGAGGTTAAATTTAGGGATTTTAAGTTTTAAAATTTAGGTTCCGGTTCCGACCGGTTTCTAACCTTTATTTTTGTACATTATTTTTTCAAACTAGAAATTTTCATACAAGAATATATATTGTATACTATTGTTTAGTATTTGCAGACGCTGATTAAAGTGTTCATATTAATGTTAATTTTAACCTCGGGAATAGAAAAATAAAAGAGTTTCTCATGTACTTTGATAACGGATGTGTTAATCTGGGTAGATCTTTTTATTTTTGTATCTTTAACCAGCATCTCTTCATATATATCCTGGTGGGAACTCAGGTGTCTTTTTAAATTTGCTCCATGCTTTCCCTTTTAAAATTATAGGAACATATTTATAAATATTTATATAATATCTGATTACCTAGCTATCAATTAGATTTTAAAAATATAAATATTTATGGAATACATATGCAAACTAAATTAATCAAAATAAAAATTATTTAAACTTTTCATAAGTAATCTGTTACAAAGCTACACGTACAGGTAGAGCAATTACTGGTAAAATCATAGGTACTATTTTTTATTTTGTAGATAATCACATAATATTCACATTGGGTATTTTTAACATACTAGCGAGTAGGACCTGAATAAATTACTCAAGACTGCACTATTATAGTTGATGGTATAGATAAACTATAAAGATAATGTCGTCTTGTCTATTTATTTGAATACTACATAGTTACCTACCATTTTATTATCATATTATTTTAATTCTTTTGTCATTGATTTTAAACTTAAATTAAAATTAAATGAAACAAAAATATGTAGCTACTTACTTTTATTTTTCCATTGCAACTTTTACAAACCGACTCGTTGGATTTCTTATCGTAAACAAAATATTTATAAACGCATGACACGGTATGACGGCCCATAATTTTAATTTGATACTTTTTAACTAATAAACGTAGACTGCGAGTTCATGTATCGGCGACTGAATAGCAAATATAGCAAATTCACCACTGAGCACCGATATTCGATAATAATTAATAACGATAATACGATATGCGTTTGTACTATGTTTGACGTGTAGATATGTTATAAAAATAAACACTTTAAAAACCCAGTGTCATTTTTTAATTGTAAAAATAACTTATGTGTCCGCAGAAATGATCTGTTATCGACATTATCGTGTAACATATACATAATATATATTAATATTCCTTAGAAAATAATATTATAGTCATTGGTCGACGGCCGAATATAACATTGCGTAAATACTGTATAATATAAATTATTATATGTAATTATTGTTTCTAAATAATATATCTTTAGTTTAAAGAGTAATTTCTTTCGATTTTAATAGGAATTTGTAAACAGTAAAAAACCCTTAAGAAAACCGGTATTCTTTTGGTATTGTTTATAGGTTTCGGTATTGGTTAGGGTACCTATATCAAAAATATAAAATACAGGTAACGGTTATTTTCGGTTCTTTAATTGACACTAGGTTTTAGGTTCCGTAACCGGTTGTTTTTGGTCCGGTCTCAGTCCCTGCTTAAAATATTTTGTAAACGGTGCTGAGTAAAGACTATGATTAAAAAATATAATATTTTGTTTTGCGTACATACATGTATACAATATTATAATGATATATTTTTATAAAATTCTCAACATATTCCTAGGCTTTTCCATAGCTCACGCTGTAAACATTTTATTTATTAATAATCAAAACTGCCAACAATACGGATCAACACAAATCCAAATAATATAGGTACATTTTTGTATTTCTGAAACCAATTAATATTGAAATAGGTGCATCATAAGGTGCCAAGAGGTTCTCCAATGTCAATTTTTTTCTTAGAGTCGTAAACACAATACTAAAGTAAACAGTTACGCTTATTGGCTTATGAATCGTTTAATAATCACAATCCATAAATATTGGTGAGTCGATTTTTATTGAAGTACATATTTGCATAACCAAAGTAACTTTATAATTAATGCTAAAAATATCCAAGTAACTTAATTGTGGGTTGCAAGTCAGATAATAAGTCCATTTCAAAAATTTAATCTCACACAATGTCTCATACATTACTAAGTAGTAAACATCAGACGCAAAAATATGCGTGTATACTTTATAAAAAATCGATTATGATGATAAACTACCGTTGTGGAACGAAGATTAATATTAAATTACCGACAATTACTGTCACGGAAACATTTGTTCATGATAAATCTTTAACATTAAAAATATTTTCTGATGGACTCGAGTTCTGAGAAAACCTTACTTTTTCCCAAGGTTTAGTTTTATAGAACTATAAAAGACATCAAATCAATGATTAAATGAAATTTTTTTTTCGAAGTACCTAATGCAATCGCTCATAGAATTTACGTGGGTAAATATATTTTTAATGCCAATCGAGATGTAAAGAAACAACAGAAAGCGAGAACAATATGTGTTAGTGAACATATTTAACCCGACTATAATAATATACATCATATTATGTTGATTGTCGAAGGTCGATTTGTTGAATAATTGATGGAGAAAAAAATGAAGAAGCCGTAGGTAGTTTATTCTAAATTTATAATGAATAGGTGTAATGCATTTCGTTTATGTAAACAACATACACACGTAGCGGCTATGTTGTGATGTGACATGTTGTTTGTTTACTATTTGGGTTATTATTTTCATGGTTTGCTTGATTATTAAAATGTCTAGGTTTATAACCTTTTGAAATTTTGAATTTTAATGAAATATTCCAAGTTGATATTGTTTAAATTAGTCGACTTTAAATATCACATTGTTACTGTTATTTTCTGGTAGTTTTTTACATGGTTATTTACTAGGAGGTATAATAATTAAAAACAATTTCAACAAAACATATATAAACATTCTTATTAGGTCTTGTTGCTAAAAATAGATGAAAGGCAATAAGGTATAAACGTAATGACGAATAACAAAAGAGAATGTTTGTTAATTTTATTAATTATATTTTGTCATACAACCGCAAATCTAAAATATTATTTTAGTATGGTAATAGTGTACACAGCAAAATATTTGTAGGATCTGTGATACCTTAAGTGATTTGTATGTGGATTCAGTATATTTCTATTTTAACTAATCGTTCCATACTATGATATTTCTTCTGTATCATTCCGTTGAATAAAGAAGTCACTGAAATTGATATTCTTATTTTTGAATATCATAGTTAATTAATAGAAGAACATAAAATATTAGTGAAGAACAAATACTTATGATTAAAAAAGTAATCATTTGTTAGCAGTAATTTATAAAACTTAAAAAATCAGTACCTAATTAGTCATTTTTATATTCTAAATGAAACGAGGAATGTATTAGTCTTAATACGATGATGTGTGTGTTTTTTGCGTTAATGTACGAAATTTCGAGAAGAATTGTTCCAAACACATTAACCATGTTAAAACCACCAAAAGCTAGGTGGTAGGAAATATTGTCTAGTTAATACTTTGATGAGCCATTTTATAAATTTCATAACAGTTTTCTTAATAGTTGGGAAAATCTGACAAAAAGTTATAAAAAGCTGCAAATTTTACGATGTACCGGTTTTTGACAAAACCCAATATTTGTTTTCATCAAAAAACGATCATTTTATTTTTTATTTTTAATAATCAAAGAAACTTAAAATGTTCAGTCGATATTTATTTTATCGTTTTCCATATATGGTGTAATTTTCTAGAAATGTTTTCAATTAATTTATAGATAATCTAAAATTTCATGTTATAATAGATTTTCTTCAAAAATGTCGATAAAATAATTTTGGTTGAAAATAGTCGATAACAAGTATTATAAAGTTCTTCGTGCATATCTTTATTGATGAAAGAAAACTGAGCTTAATTTTACGAGAGCTAAATATAAAATGTTGACAATTCTATAAAATGATGAAAATCCTTTACATATTTATAAATAAAAATTCATAAGACTGTCATTATGTATACTTATTGGATGAAAATTGGGTACCAAGATTTTTTACAAGATTTTATTTGTAGTAAATAAAAAAAATATATTACTGAAATGTAGTTAAATTGATTTATAAACGTTACAAAATTATATTTTGACGAAATTGGATACTTCAAGAAATATGATTATATAAATATTTTATAGACAACTCCGGGTTTAAAAAATTTTGTATGAAATTGTTGCTGTTTCTAGGCATTTAACATTTTCGATTCCTTCTAATTTTATATTTTTTTATGTGAAAGTCGGAACACTGAATATTCAACATACCTTACTAAAAAAATTAGTTCTTCTACTTTATCAACTATTTTGAGAATTATATACTGATTCACCCAATTTCTTTCACTCAGAATCGTTTTCTTCAATAGAAATGAAACATTGGTTTCAAATCTAAAATACCAATACAGCAATATTATTCACCTATACTTATATCTCATTCGACCGTGATTTTATACCCGATCTAAGAGTTTTGCCTTTTTTTCAAGTATATTTTGTACAAAAAACTTAATAAAGGTGCATGCATAAGTGTTAGGATCTTATCTGAAAGTTAGATGCTGGATTTTATTTATTTTCAACAATATAATTAACATAAAGTTAAATTGTTATTCAAAAACCTAAAAATCAGTGTTCAAAGATGTTAACTCTACATTTCCATATTATCATATATTAACATGTATAAAACAACAAACAATTCACTTCTGTATTATTAATTTAAATTCATACATAATTACATACATAATTGTATAGGAGAAAGATATGCTATTATGACTGGTTTTCTAATAATCATAATAAAATTATATCATTTTAAAAATGTGGTGTAAATTTTAGTTTTTGAAATCAATTTATGTATCTTACATTCTTAGAATGAGTATATAAAATAATTTATACAATAAACCATACAATAATTTTCAAAGAGAAAAAAACACAATTTTAATTGTGGTTTACTTTTTATTTGAAATCTGCCTCAAAATCATATAAATGCTATTTTGATCAAATGGACATTGTCGATAGGTCACTCCACATTCTTTATTCTTTCCTGCTTCAAGTGCCGCTTTAAATTTTGAACCATCAATCATAAAATTCATCAACGAGTTTCTAAGGCAAAGTTTACGAACATTAAATAAGAATGATTTGAGCGTGGGTTGGAAATTAAAAAAAAATATGGTACATACTTTGTTAGAGCGTTTACTGTACTATCTACGAAATTGTTGATTCCTGATTTTTCTTTTACTTGTTCTGTTGATTGTATATAAGTACACAATGCTTTTTGCATACACGCAGTTGTATTTATATTATATTTGGACATAGAATCTTCAAATTTTGCGACCATATCGTTTAAACCAGACATTATTTCTTCACCTAAATATCAACAGAAAAACTTACTATAAATAGTCAGGATGAGTAATTTTTGATTGTACTTTCTATAATATTTAAAGTATTTTTATGATTCTATATTTAGGTTCTCTCTTCTTATACGTGGATTACTCATATTTTGTCTACTGCAGAATATACATTATTTTTGACAATTTTGAACAATAAATAATATAAATAAATAATAAATTTAGTAGTTATATAAATGATAACTTTCATGATTTTACTTACTCCTCCTATATCCGGAGTAACTATTTCCAACTGGATGAGCACTAAAAAGATTAGTCGTCGAAAACAACAGGTACAAAATTTTCGGGATAAAAATTAGAATACCGAGTCCAACAACAGCTCCTACGATTAGACCACCTATATCGATTTTCTGTGATCCATAACCACTTACAGAACTACCTTGATATCCCTTGAACAAAAAAATAAATAAATATTCAGCTTCAAATGTTGTTGTTTAAGTACACAAATTAATTAAATATTTTTATAATATTATTAATATTTTGAATTTTAACTATCATTTTGATTCTATAAAGCATTTCAGATTATACTAAATGAATAAATATTTTTTTTAAGTATTATATAATTTACAGACCCTAGTCGTATAAACTATTTTGTAAATGTAAATAAATAATTGTGTTCAGTAAAGATTTTTTTAATAAAGTTTAATGAAATTAGTTTATAAGAAGACTATTGAGACCAATATAAATGTTTTGTTTCGTTAGAATAGCTTTATAAATTTTGTATTCATTTTAATAATTTTTTTTGTTACACATTTATATTTTAAGTAGAATTCATCTTAAATAAAATAATTTGTATATGATATTTATTTTTATACGTTTAATGTATGGTATAAATTATGAACGGGTATGAAAAGATTGATTAAATTCAAGTAGGTATTATAAGATAAAGTGTCTATATTTTTTAGCAGGTAACAGGTACAAAGATGCGAGTTGTTTCAAATGGAAAAATGTTCAATACGAACTGTAATTATATATTCTAATATGAAAATTCGCCAAAGAAAAATAAATTTTAGAACAATTGACTATCTTAAATAATTAGATGGAAAATTCATATGTTGATTTGTTTATCACACGTTATTATATCTGTATTTGTGTATAATACTCATATATCTTAACTATATTATGCTATTTACAAATGTGATATAAAAATTAAAAGTCAATAAAATCTTTGAACTCTCTAATTTTAATTAAAATATTGATTTACGATGTGAACATTGTTTGTAGTTTTTTGAAGACTAACATTAAATCGAATTGTAAGGAGTTATATTATATTTATTCGGTTAAAATGTTGTAACCTATTTAGTGAATGAATGTATAAAATGCACGTATTGAAAGGGTAAAGCCACACTTATCACCGTCAATAACGTATAAAAAAGAAATAACAAATTAATATAGTTGTATGTTGGCTAATTTTTAAACGAAAGGAAAATCTCATTTTACAGAATTTGTAAAAGGTGAAAATTATAAACATATTTATGTGATTTTAGCTGTGCAATATATACGAATGAGAATATGAACGTATGTATTAATCGTAATAAAATTATTTTTAAAATTATCAAATAATTTGCATACAAAATTTTTACGTATATACTACATTGCATGAACGCAGATCTCGTTAAAGTCGAATATACAAGCGTAAGGAATGAATTGCTCGATCAATATTACAGTCTACAACTTATATTAGATAATTTTTTTTTTGGTCTTCACCTTAAAACTGTCTGAAACAATTGATGAGTCAATAAAAGTGTAAATTATTTGTCCTACTGTAAATTACAAATGGAATATTTTATTTTCATAATTCCCGATAGTATGTGAAATGTAGTGAACAAATGCAGACTGTATGATTTTGATCACGTCTATGTCACCCACGCCCCAGAATTTTAACCTTGTCTGTTCAATGCACAGAATGTGTCATCAGCAGCCAGCGTGGCCTATAAAATCTTGCGTTCAATGCCACAGCTGATGCGAATAGATTAGATTACCACAGTTTTACTATAAAAATTATAACAGACATTTGGTATTAAGTTTGGACAATATTATAATAAAGTTATCGTAGTCTTATTATTAATATTTTTATCGGAACCATTGCCAAACGGTTACGATTATATTATAGGTTCATTGCATGACACATTTTTTTCTTTAGATCCTATGAATCGATGCATTGTTTTTTTGTAGCTAATTGAAAATTATTTTAGCACCGTTGCACCAACGATGACGTTATAACACGAATTATAGTTATTATTATGTATTAATAGTTTAAAATTATTTTTTTTAAATGTATACTGACTCCCAATCCAGTTGTTGCTCCACCTAAAGATGATGGTATGTATCCAAATCTAGCTTCGTGCGGTCGTTCGACGTTTGTTTTATTTTCATGTTGTACTCCTTCAAAATACGTTACGGGATTCGGCAGCACTCCACTACGTAAATCATAAAATGCATGTAATTAAACTGTTCACTCACTGTAATTTTATTCGATTCCTGGTGTCGTAAATAAAATAACTTATAAATGTAGAGTTAAGCACTATTGTGATACCTTTCAGTTACAAATTATTGAAAATGAAAAGATTACATTGCATTATTCTTAGTTATATTTTGAACAATTTAATTTTCTTAAGAAATTAGCTACATAAGTTCAATTTAGCAGAATTTTTAATTTTTTTTCTTAATGAAATTTTAACTTCAAAACATGCATATAAATAGTTTATATGTCTTAGCCACTTGATGCTAATAGCAAATTTTTTAATTTTACAGCAGATAAGTCAATGAGCAAACAAAATTACCCACATTATAATATTATAATTATAAACTATAATATAATATTATTAGTGCTATGGTTTTAATGGCTAAAAATATATTTAAATTTTTTGGTGATCAAATCATATTTTGTGCTTAAAAAGATAGGTAAATCCTATAAATCAGTAGCATTCAAACTGTGGGCTGTAGCTATATTTCTGAAGGGCCATGAAATATTTATTTTATTTAAATTATTTTCCTTAGACCTTAATTGTTTTATATTTATAAATATTAAAAATTTAATACAACATATTATAAAGTTTTTTAAAAGTATATAAAAAACATTAATTTATTATTCATATTAATAATTAATCTGTGTGAAATAGTTCATGTGATTTTAGTGGACAATTAAAAAAAAATGACAGTTTTACATTAAATTTAAGGACCTCCATGATGAAAAAATTTGAGAAGTACTGATGTAAATAATAAGAAAAAAAATACAACATTCTAACCTAATTTAGCTCTAATATATCTATTAGTTACTTATAATAATACCAATTGCAAGAAAATAGGTACTTATTATTATAATATATTATTTGTAATTTAATTATTTACGAACTTCTAAGGTATAAATTATACTCCTATCAATGTATATCCTTACTATAAATAGATATATCTACAAATAAAGTAGTATAATGAAATAACTTAAGTTTTATCTGAATTCTAATATAAAGCACAAAAAACATAAATTCTTTATTTTTGAAGTATAAAAATTTAAAACATGTGTGTTATATTCTTATGGAAATCGTATATACAAAGGATACATATACATGTATAGCATAAATAAAGATTAATCTCCAGAATTTTAAAATACATTATGTAGCTTTCCATCAAAAAAAAAAAAAAACACTTTAACCTGTAGAAAAACTTAAGAAAATATTTATTACTATATACTTAGTATAGGTAGTATTAAATTATAATTTAAAATGTTTGAATACATAATTTATGTAGATTTAAATAGGTATTCTACTGTAATTGTTGGATAACAATTATTATTTATTTTTCAGGTAAGAAATTAAAAAATTAACTATGCTAATTTTGTAAAAACTTCAAATTAATACGTACTCGGGTGGCATTTCAAATGTGTTGGGCAACGCACAAACAGCAAAATGGATAAACACAAAAATATACACAAGTGATTTGAACGCCTGGAAAATAGTTTTGATGAATGCGCGGAACTTGTATTAAATTGAAAACATATAAATGTTGCTTACCATTGCAGAGCAGTAAGCGCTAAATGTGACGGTATAGTGGCGTAGGCAGGTATGTGTCGAAAACTGTAATAATGTCTGGACAATTCAGAAGTATCAAGTGTATATATATTGTACATGAGACAATATGCGGATATCACACATAGGAAGGAAAACAAAAGTGAAAATGTTTAATAATTTGTCGTAGGAACCGAATATTTTTGAGTCCATTGTTGGAGTCTGTTGATGAGCAACCATTTGTGACTTGGGACATGGAGGATTTTTCAGCCACAAAGAATGAGTATGTTGTTATTCAACAAAATACAGCATTTAATTTTTTTTTATATTATGTATGTTTTATTTGTTGCGTGCTCACGTAACACGTTTACCTATTTTTGAATACGTAATGCACATAATACAATATCGTTTTAATATAATTAAGACTTACAACTCTGTGTTCCGACCGAGTAAATATAGAACACGATAAGTACATAATATTTTCCGGTAATTAATTTTTATTTGTGTTTCTTTGTTTCATAAGACTTCTATATTTGTACAATCAAGTTTGTTTTAAAATTATATCTTACATATATACCTGTAAACTGAGTACTAAATTTTTACACATTACTTACCACTGCGTATAAACATTTTAAATAATAATTTAATAAATATTTTCCACAAATAAACAAAACTTTTTTTTATAGCCATTCTCTATCTATGCATTTGGATAATGTTAAAAGCATAATGCAGTTTGTTCTTTACTTGAATTTTAATCATATTGAACTATAAAATCTAAATATTAAAAATACAGTAGTTCTTTTAATTATTTGTTTTGTATAATAATGTAATGTTGATATTTTTGACTATAGTAAATATTTTCTTTAATTAATCATAAATATATAATGATAAACTATAAATGTGTGTGTATTAATTTCACATGTTTTTGTTAATTTGTATGAGTCATAGTACATGGTATATGGTTTATATATATATTTATATTTTCGATTATAATATAAGTACAACTGAATTCTGACTATACTGAGTATTGACTTGAGTATAAAAAAAACATTTTAAAAGTTTGTATTTTATTGATTTTACAAAGTGTTACCACTTCAATAATTTTAATTAAATTTTGTATCAATTGAAAAGCAATATATTATATATATATTAGGTTTATTTTTAATGTTTATATGTTGTGTAATTTTTAGTATATAGATATCGTGGACTTTGTTTAACAGATTACTTATATCATACTTAATGCACGTTTAAAATATTTCTATTCATTACTTTTAATAAACACTTCAAATTTTGATTGTTCGCATTTTTTAATTTTACAATATTATTTCTTTCATTTTTTAACATAATACATTTATAAGTACATACCATTTTCATTTACAGATTCAAGTAACTTCAATTTTAATACAAATACTTTAAAGTATTGGAATTTACTTATGTATAGTTTGTGTAATATTCGTTTTTAGAGCAGTTCTAAAACCGCCCATTTAGGTATTAATTTGATGATTTATCGATGCTTTTTAAATTCATAGTATTAATATATACTGTTATCAATCATGATGAACGAAGTGAGAAGAATACTTAATTCTACTTACTATTTATTTTTAAAAGTATGTTGTCATAGGAACTTTATTTTAATTAGATTGTATAATATTTATTAAAATATTAAAAAACAATAATGATTTATAATTGTCTGTGTGTCTTCGTATGCCAATTTTTGTACGTGGAAACTTTTCTCTTAAAGAATAAAATGACTCAGCTTCCTGTATTAAAAAAACAATTTTAAATGTGTAAGATTATTAACCAGTCAATTTTTACAGGCCCAGTACAAAAATGATATTAATTTAGAAGAAAAGTGGAAAATAAAAAATGCTATATTAAATCTAAATCAGACAACTAAAAGAAATCACATCTTTAATTGGCCAGCCATTAAGATGAAAAAATGGCTGATATCATCCAAACATGTATTTAAGAAGCCAATGATCAAAAAAAGGGATTTAGGATATTTTAAAAGTAAGATATTATTAACATATGATATTCTTGGTAAAGCAAAAATGAAATATTGACGAGTATACTTCTAAAATTTGAGACTAGTTTTGCTCATATTTTAAATTCAATGCTTTGTATATTATATATTTTAAATAGTTAGCAGTAGTTAAAAAATGATTAATCCAATAATTTTTTTTTTAAATATTTTTTATGTGTAATTAATTTTCAAGTAATCGTTTTAAACGTTCAGATGATAATTAGTTACTACCTTGCATCTTGATAAGCGGAGCGGAGGGACGCTTGTGTTACATTTTGTCAGTTGTCTTGGCGGCTCTAGTAACGATTATTGTTACATTATTATTGTTAGGTTAGGTTAGGTTAGGTTATTGTTTACATACAACTATTATTACGTTGGTGAAAAATTAATATAAATATATAAATAAAGTTTTTAATGCACAGTACATTTTTTATTCATATTGCTCTTGTCAAAAATATTACACCAACGCAATAAAAAAATTAAACCATTAAAATACATCATAAATTATCATAATGGTATTGTTTACTAGTTTTGATTTATATTAATATTACATTAAATATATGATATATTGGTTCTTAATAATGTGTACAATAAAAGCAGTTTAATAATCAGGGAAAACCTTTAGTTAAATAGTGACATAATTTATTCTTGTGGAAGTAAATAAATATTGATATATTTGAAAGTAATCTGATATATACCATATATTATATCAATTACCCATTAGTTATATTATGGTATATTAGTTTTTTAAAATTTAAAAGTAAAAATATGATTCTATTAAATTTTATAAAAAATCAAAATAGAACAAAATTTTTGTTTTTGTCGTTTGTTATGATTTTATTTGACATGACCAGATGATTATAAACTCTCCCCATCTTAATGACCTGTAAACTCTCACGAGCCTACTTCAATACTACCCGAAGGGAGTACCTAAACTATCCCGGGTATAATTGGATGGTTTTTAATAGAAAGGGCTTAAGTCAACTTTTACAGCGGCGTTGAGTGATAGAATTATAGATGTTATGTGGGATTTATTGATTAGAATTTATTTTTTTTTACTTATACTAAAAAGTGCAATTTAAACTATTTAATCTCAAAATTTAATACTAAAAATATTTATTTGTTGACATAATATTATATGTATATTTCACTTACTTTTACTATTTCGATTAGATGTACTTTAATATCTAGATATATTATTTTTTAAACATATATTCATTGTATATATTTTATCAACCGTATTAATAATTGTGTAAATTGTGTATTATATAAAAATGTGTACTTATATATTGAAAAATAATATTTTTTTTAACCATATTATGGTTTTTTATTTAAAAGTTGATCTTAATGAATATTAATAATAGAATAATAATCGTTATACATTTAAATTTCATTAAAAAAGTCGTCGTGGTCTAATAATAAAAAATAATAAAATAAATAAAATATACACTTAAATTTAAATTTAAATTTCTGCAGTGTAGCCAGTTCAAAGTGTATTATTAACCATAGGCGTGCGCACGAGGGTAGGTCGGGCGGGCCGCTCCCCCCCCCCTGCGGACTCAGGCTTTTTCTTTAATAAATGTATATCTTTACTATACAAGATAGCGAACATTTTTACATTTTACATGAATAAAGTAAAGCCAGTTTTAATCTTATAGTATAGAATTAATATCTGTGAATAAATGTAATAAAGTTATTAGTTATTAATCAGAATAATCAGAACTTGCATATAATATAAAAATTGAACATGTAATTGATACATTCAAAAACCTTACTCCCATGGATTGAAGGGGGGAGTTGTAAATGGTATAATAATATGTAAACAAGGATTTCTTAGATATAAATTGTGTAAGTTTAAATAATATTTATTTTTATATTTGCATATTGAATTAAATAAATAATTTATAAAATTTAAATTTTTTTAATTATACTAGTAGTCTTTAGTACAAGAATCTTTGGTTCATTTTTTTTAAGGGCCCATCCCCCCTGATGACAAAGTCCGCGCACGCCTATGTCAATAACATTTAAACAACTCGGGAGAGTTCATACATTTCCTATAGGTGAACATAATGTTGACCCGGGACAGCTTACACTTTTCCTTCAGGTAAACATAATATTTACCCGGGAGAATTTACCACCATCCACATGACTAATACTATGATTGATTTTATTAAAATAAATGTCTAACGAAGTGTTGATATTTTAATGCATTTTTAATTATATAATTATTCTTTCAGTAAATTAATGTTTTTGACACGGTAGAGTGTATAATTATTATAATTATGTTTCACATAAAATCAGTTGATATTCATCGTACAGCGTTGCATTCAATCTTTTTTATATTGAATTCAGTTATAAATTAATATACATTTTATCATGAAATGTACTTCACCGGATATTTATGAAGTAGATTTCATGTATTATTTCACTGTTTGTGCTCTTCATCTTGTAATGAAACCGTAGCACTCTTACAGCCGAAAGCAGCGATGTTGTACATATTTTTAAGAATCAACCACCTGGCCCAGGAATCGAATGAATCAACAAATCCTGACAATGTTTACAGTACAGGCGGCAGCGTCCGACTATTGGGATTTCGGCGGCACATGGTCGTCGGACCCGGCTGGCGTTTGGTTTGACATGGACGTGCGCAACACAGTGGGCATAGACAAGAATATACCCGTAAAAATATCTGACAGAGTGATGGGCACGAAGTCTTCCGGCTTCATGAACAAACGTTGGATGGCAAAAGCCAACGCGAAGTACGGCCATCTCGGGCCGGTATCGTTGTTTGCCATTAACCGTTTGGAAAGAAGCATAGCAGTGTTCGTCGGTAATATTATTTATTCAATAATAATAATAATAATTGTAGTAATTGTAATACTAATACGCGGCGGCTTAAGTTTTCATTCTATCATCTATTTATTCAAAATTCAAATACCACTAATTTACTGATCGCTACATCTTAAAAACAACCAAACGTGGTTTCTCTAATATTCTATAAATGCAATAAGAAGAGATTTTTTGAAAATCGCATTTTTAAAGATTGAAATAGTTTTGGGCTGGTTACATAATTTTTTTCATTTTTTAGTTTCCTAGGAAATAATTTATTTTGTTTAATATGTCGATTTTAATAATTACCGATGAGGTATTATGTAATTTAATGTAGTATAAATTAATGAAAATAGATACCTATTATAAGAATACATTTCTATGCACTTTTTCCAGCAAAAGTATTTTGTTTACATCAAAGTATTAATTGCTCTAATCCAAAATAGCAAAATATCTTCCAGGTGAAGGCGGTAATTCAGATAGTTTTTTATATAGTTCACTAGTATTTATCGGCTATCATAGAAATATTAGGTATGCCAATTATACATAATTATTTATAAAGGTACTAGTATATAATAGTACATAATTAGTATATATTAGTATATAATAGATATTAGTGAAAAGTAATAATATTTCAATCTTGTGCCAAATATATATTATGGGATAGAATCAAGATGAGAGGATACCGAAGTACTTGCACGAAAATAAATATTTATTGAAAAGTTTACTTTTTAAAAATAACACAACTTTTCATAGTTTGAAATTGTATTTTGATTATTTAATATCAAAAGAAAATATCAAATACTATTTCTTACCTTTCGTCTCCTTGCTTTTAAAATGTGACCATAAAATAAATAAAAACCTATGAATAGTGTTTAAGACGGATTCCAGATAGTACGCAAAAAGTGATGCATTGAGAGGGGACTGAAGAGGGCTCACTCAGTCTCATCACTCAATCATATTGTGAATATTTACTTATGATTTGGTGGAAAACTAATCTAAACAGTAGAAATTAAAGCGAATTATGATTCTAGGTGATTTCATCTTGGACAGTTATTGGTGTATACCTGCAACTAAAACAATAATTGTAACTTAATAATTGACGATTTAAGTACGAGGGATACGGAAATTTAATTTTTAATAGATTAAAACTGAACTGTTTTAACTGTCAATAAAACAATGAAATATTTGTATTATATATTAGATATTTATACATATATTTTTTAAGGATTTGTCCATTCACAAAACAGTAAAGATTTCATAACAGGCATGTGGACTATAGGAAGAAACTGTACGAATAATTTGGACATTCATCAGTCCGTATTAAATGTACCGGATGTTTTGCGTAGAGATATCACTTAATACGGTGATTAAAAATAACAGCAGTAATAATTTTATTATATTCCTGTATCTTATTTAATAGCATAATGTATTTACTTTGATGTTTTCACTTTTGAATGTATTGATTTTTTTATCTTAATGATGTACAGCTTTTTGGGGAATAATTTGTGTCTTTTACTTTTACAGGCGCACAATACAAGTTAACTTGTTAAAGCTAAGTTTTTTTATAAATCTAACTTTAATTATTCATTCACCGAACAAATACTTTCAAATTTCAGAATATTTTAAGAGAATGATTTTGTAGCCAGTTGAAACTCAAAATGAAAATTTTGTTTTTATTTAAAAATACAATTTTAAAAAAACTTCCTTTTAATGTAATATTAAAATATATTATAATATACACATTATCACCCTGAAATTTAATTTCAATTTAAGCATTTGAAACTATAAATCATATGCATTAGTTGAATTGTGATAAAATAAGTTTTTAAAAAAAGTTAGCTTATTTTTAACTTCAGGATGGAATGCATCATGTTGAAGATATGATGAGGCACTTATAGGGTCACTTTCTTACCTCCGATGTTCAAATACCGGTTTGTGTATAATAAAGAGTATTTAGTGACAAATAGTCTAAGATAATATTGAAACGTATTTTAATACATGCGAAGAAGTAGGAGTCGGGTGAGGCCAAATGAGCTCTGAAGGAAAACCACTGTTTGCATTGAAAATAAACACAATTAAGTAAGTCGAAATCAAAAAAACTATTGTCTTCAAAATGTATGAGAACTTCTAATGAATAAATTGTGTTATAATATATATTACAAAGGTTAAGGGACACACCGTTGGTTGTCGTTAGCAGTTAAATAAAATTGGATTAACGTAGACATAAAGCTGTAATTGCTTACATTCATATTAATGTTCCTTTAATTTTTTTTTTTTATTCAGATATATCATGTGTGTAAATGTTGTTTAGTCATTTTAATTCAAGTTTGATGTTGTTAAAACCAATTTATTTATATATTTTTAGTATAATTTATGTTATTAAAGTATATCAAGTTATTAATTATTACCGATTGTGGTTAATATTTTTATATTACAAATCCCACTCTGATGTGCAACCAAAACTATTAAACTAAATTATAATTCTATGCATCGTTAATAGTTACAATTGTATCTATATTTTAGTATCTGATTATACTCATTTTCTCAGATTCTCAAAAACAACTCAACCTACGTTTATTGGTATACTCGTATTCTAAGCACATGCATTTATTGTAAGCGTATTATAATATTTTTGATACCTAATTGTTGCTATCACTAGTGTTAATTACTATCTCATTTATTATAATCTAGATTTCCATCTTAATAATTTGTTCGTTTCTCGATTATAATATACCGAGGACCGTATATTTGTGAAAAATATATCCTTCTCATTTGATTTGCTGTTGATAAAGATCAATTTTCATGTTTGCAAAACTTTCTTTCTTACACATCTCATTTCGTATAACTTATATTTGTTCTTAAAACTGTTACTACAACACACCTGTGATGAAACGTTTCATCCGATATGCCAACGGAAACAATTTTCAGTTGAACCGTTTTACGATCTGTATGTATTCCAAAATATATATTGTACATTGCTTTCAAATAATTAAACTATTATTGTTTATATTTGTTTACACTTATGTCCATCGTAATATTTATACATAATATTTACAGTATTGAACATATTGTTCAATTTAAAGGTATTTCATAGGTTCTGTAGTTTAAAAATAAATAAATGAGTAATACAATCACGTATGCTGTGAATAAAAAAAATCGTAGATTCATTTTATAATTATTTTATTTTAATTTAAATTGGTTAGTAATAATAATAAAATATTTGTTCAGTCTTTGATAGTTTTGTTATATCTTTTAATAACAACGAAATAAATATGTGACTGACGATCTAATGTTACGGGCCGTATACATGCCTTAAAATACTGTATTTAATTTATGATATAACGATTTGTGCATCATAAATTATTACATAATATTGTCGAATATACATTAATACATCATATTTAACTTTTGTTAATAATTATAGGACTAATAAAAGCATTGTTCGACGATATACCAGCAAATTCGTATGCATACTAATGCGAATATTGTTTTTAGTAGTATGTGTGCTTTGCGCAATCTGAAAACCAATAAATACATATCATTAAAATATTTAATGATAAAAATTAAATAGGTAATACAAAATAATAAATAATAATAAAAATAAAATAATTTAAGTAATAAATAATAAAATTTCTCTCATGGTATTATTCATTATATGATCTTTTGGAGTTACATAGAGTCATTATAACTTAAAGATTTTATATAAATATATATTATCTAGAGATTTAAATTAATTGCAGTCAATAACTATCTATTGGTTTTCAAATATGAAAACATCGAATTATAAATAAAAAATTGAAGTTGCTTACCATAGATTACTAAGAATAATTAATTTATGCTTTATATTCAAAATTAGGTTTCAAAGTATTAAAATTTATGTGAACTAAATTATAAGTAAAGCGTTTTTATTTTTAATTTAGTTTTTTATCTGGATATTATTTTATTTACTGTTTACATAATCGACAAGAACAATTTATTGTTATAATTAATATGAATTCGTTTACCTTTCCCACTTGATTCGCGCGTTCTTTAACGTATGCAAGTCATCTTTCACCAAATATAAACGCAGACCAATGGCACAAGCCCGTGCGTAATAATCCCATGACATTTCTTTTATGTCAAAAAAGAATAATTTTTGATCGGCCTCTGACATTTCATTCCATAGACTCCTAGTGTTATCATCATTGAAGTCCCATTGTTTATTTGCAAAGAATGATAGTGCAGCGTTGGCTTTTTTAATTTTCTTGTAGATTTTGGTAAGCCTACATGTAAATAAACAAAAAATATACAATCAATAGTATTATATTATCGTTGGTTAACGTGTTGTTGTTTTATTCTTACATTGGCTTCTTGCCGGTCATCTGGGCCAAAAAGTCAATAAAGTACCCAGGGATCGTGTGTAATAATAAGAACAATAGGGAATACAAATATGGGTTACTGGTGGGCACGAAAGAGTAGTACCAAATTGCATTGATAGTAGGCCAGTTGGGCAGACCGTACTCCTTGACGGTTGTGAAGAATTTCTCCAGGATAATTGGATTCTGCTTAGAACTAACATAGTTGAAAATAGGTGGATTTTTTTCACTGCAAATAAAGTTATAAATCGGTGTAAATATTTATGGATTGCATTAACAGAATGATATTATATTTGTTGAACTCAATTATAGAAATATGTTTACAGAGTAATTTTGGCATTTAATTACTATCCAAAGAATAAAAAATAACAGAAAAATAATTAAATTTGATTTCTTAAATTTGTTATTGAATCATTATACTTGTTTTTTCTTATAAAATAAATAAAAAGTTATTAAAAGTTGAATTTTCAAATAATATAATAAAAATATTATAAGGTTATTAATTCAAAGATGAAATATTATAAAAGAAATATTAGAGTTTAAACTTACATTGCTGGTGTAATTTTGCTGACTTTATACGCCGAGCATATCAGTGCATTAACAACCAAGTCTACAGGAACTAAATCTATAATTTTAGTAACATCACAGTGATGCGTGTGTAGCACTCCGGTGCCGACTCCTACTATCATTCCAATGGGCCCATAAACGTTGTCAATCCAACCACGAACAGGTTCATTATAAGTCGAAATGACTACAAAATAATAATCATATTAGTCTGAAACTAAATCACGAAAAATTAAAAATTAAAATTATAATCAATTTACCAACTGATGGTCTGAATATTCCAATAGGTAACCCAGCTGATTCGTTTTTAACTAAATCTTCAGCTAAAGATTTTGTGAACGTATATGTATTAGGCCAACCAGATAATAAGCTAAAATGTGAAATTTATAGTTAAATATCAAATACTTTATATTAACGTAAAAATAAAACAACTCAAATACCTGGGTGTAATATTTTCTAATTTCTTATCATCATTGGTCGAAGCCACCAAAGATATTACTCCGTCATAACTAAAAGGCGCTTCGTAAAATTTCTCATCGATTTTATCAAACGCACAATTAGCATATGCAGTCGACACATACATACATGCCTAAACAAGATATATTATTTTTTAAAAATTTAATATAGTTGAATTTTGAATTTAAACACAAAAAAATAATTTCATCCATAAAACGGTTAGAATGTTATAAGTTTAATATGTTTTTGGTTTAGTTTATAACTAGTATAACATGGTAAACATGTGTTATAAAAAAGAAAACTGGTATTATGACGAGTATGTTATGACAGTTTTTAATTTGGTTATAAAACATAAAACGCTTAATACCTATGTATAATAAATGCATACATGTGTAATTATAGTAATAAGAAAATAAATTGTCTAAGATAGAATTTTTTTTTAAGTTTAAAAGAAAAAATATTAATAAGTATGTTAAGTATACAGATAAATTAAGTAAGAGTTTAGCTAAGGTAACAAAAGTAAAAACCAAATTCACAAAAGTGAAAGGAATATATGGGACTTTGACCTTCACACTACGTTTTTCGATGGTTGAACTTGCACGTAATAATTGATAGGTGTACTTGTGCATTACTTGTTTCTCTCCTCAGGCACAGGATAAAATACTTTTCAATATTTTTTATGAATATTGAAATAAATATAAATGTCATATAACAAGTTTAGATGAAATTACAAGTCGTAGATCAAGAACAAATACAGGAATTTAATATTTTACTGTATAGATATTACAACTTGTTTGAGAAAAATGACCTTCAATAAAATACATTTATATCAAAAATAATTTGTAGAACTGGCTACAAAACTCGATTGCAGATAAACTGGATCTGTATGGATATTTATTCGCAAATGATAAAAGCTGTTAATTATATGATAAATAATATATATATATATATATATATATATATATATATATATATATATATATATTATTATATTACATGATTATACTTTTATTATAAGTCCAAATTAATTATTTAGATTGTACTACTAAACGTAGTATTTTTATTTATAATGTATTCTTTGTATAAAATTTCAAATTTTTCATGTGTTCAATACTCAAACATAAATTGATGGTAATTAATGACGTACGATAAGTCAAACTAAATGTACTTGACTAAATAGTAATTAAAATTCGAAAAATTATATTTAATAATTTTTTTTAAGTTACAGTTACGGCAACGTATATTGATTTTTTTTTAACTGATCTCATGTAAAAATATTAGTTCAGATAGAATTAGAATAATATCTTAATCATTTTTGAGCTTGTTGCTTAAAGTTTGATAGTATGATTAAAATCTCAACAATGAATTTAAGTCCAGTTCATTATTCGAGAGTGTAAAAAAATCATTTAAAATGCCTAATCAAACAAACTACATAAGAACCCATAATCCACACAGAATAAAAACGTCCAACACGATGATTTATCGTAACTTTTGAATATTTAATAATAATACCACAATACCAAGGTGAAATGAATTCTGAATACCTTGTTTATTTAATATCATGTCCATACTTTTATAACGAATATTAACTCGTTTTTTAAGTAATTTCTATACTGATATACAGCGAGTAGGAAGACATTATGGTTTAAACTTGAACAATATAAACACAAACTTGTTTCATGCAGTGGTGTACCCAGAGGGTAGGTCTGTTTGGCTTGTAAGGCCTACTCTGTGTTCAAATAGTTATTATTAATATTTTTTACATTATTATTGTTTACTTTTTAATATCTTTAAATATTAGTAACAAGTCAAACAAGAGTAATTGTATTATTTAAATTATAAAATCATTTTTTTTCTAATTAAATTTAAAAATTTTATGAAAAGTTTACAAAAAAAAAATAAAATAAAATAATGTGTACCTATATAAATTAAAATAATTATAACTAGGACTACATTTTGGTCCTGGTCACACTTCTGGTTTCGTGTACTTACGTACTTATTTCCCTTATCAAACTACCAAAATTATTATTTAATTACATATTATTATATATTATTACAGTATTATCATACTTATGATTCAAAAATTACATTATTGAAGTAAACTTGGAAGGTATTTTTAATGCGAAAGGATTGAGTAGTACGCTTAATGATAGGAAGTAGTAAATATAATTAGGTTGTATTGATAAAAAAAAAATACTATAATTACTTAGATACAGTGGTGGATTTAAAGGCAGGCTAAATAGGTTATAGTCTATGGCGGCTTTTCTGAGGAGTGGAGGGCTTTTATTTTTTTGAATTTAAGAATTATTAGATAAATTTATTTCATAATATTTGTTTTTATTTATAATATAAACACAAATAAAAATAATTTTAAAAAGTTATAATAATATGTGCAATTTACATAGTAAGAATATTACAATTATTATAAAAATTTGAAATTACATTATGTGTAATATAATCACTTTTAGTCAGTAATATCACTCTGTACATATTAGGAACATACGATTATAGGTAACTTCTAAAAATATAACAGTTATTTGTTATTTTCAGAAAAGTTTTCTTTACCATTATACCACTACCACTATCCGCGTAGTCACATCTCGATCACTGCAATACTGCCTACCCTGCCTTAGTCTGTAAGATAAACGATCGGAAAACGCGTGCGATCATTGTATTTTAATGACTAATATGAATAATATTATTTTCAAAAATGGCAATAAAATAAACCTTTTATTGCTAATATTTAAATTTATTTGTTAAAATATTATATAAATTGGCACTTGACGAGTGGTAACAGAAGTACGCTGTAGTTTATTTGTCTGGACTGTATAACAGTTTAAAAGGTATTAAAGTACTTTAATTACTTGCATTTGAAAATAGTACAACAATTTTGTACTTGTGGGTTTTTTCACTAGCTTTATTTCTTTCCTTTTTTTGTTGAAATTTTAATTTTAATTTCATCACATCCGTAATACAAGTTTAGTGGTGTAGTATTGTAGATAGTCACTAAATACAACACGCATCGTTCCTTATTTTTATTTATTTAGTTTTAATAAAAATGTGTATACAATTTGAAAAGAAGGTGTTCAGATAAAATATTTATGGTTCCTTAGTAGTGTCAAGAGATCGGGGAGGGTAATAGAGTGATTAAGATTTACGCCAAAACGTTAAAAATCCGCCACTGCTTAAATCAGTCATTCCCAACCGTGGTACTACGAACTTAAATTGAGAGTGCCGTAAAATTTTTGGAAATATATTTTTTAAGAAAAAAACGTTTTTATGAAAAATAAAACTCTCTGAGCAATAACACAGACCATAATATAAAACTTATTGTATTTCATATAATTTGTATTAATACTGTGATCAATCTATTTTAATTTTCATTCCAATTATGATTGCTATTACTTCGATAGCTTCGAAGTTACAAAATATAAATTTAAAGACATAATATATTACTATTCGGTATATAATTTATAGAATATAAATATAGGGTGCCTCCGCATTTTTATAAAATAACTAAAGGTGCCATAAGTCAAAGGAGATTGGGAACCTCTGGTTAAGATATATATAGGGTCCTAGACTAATTTTATCATCGAAGCCCCATAATCCTAGTTGTGCCACTGTGAAGTATATTATTTGATTCAAATAATTTATATAACTTCTACATAGTTTATGGCGAGAATGTGATTTATAATTTTAATATTTAAAATTTAACTATCCATTTATAAAATATTTTAATCATAACTGTCAATTTTTAAAAAGTTTTAAATATGATATATATATATAACCGAGCCGAGCTCCTCAGAAAATGTCTTCTTTAGTACGGCCATAAATCACTGATTTATAGAATTCAAAACATTATCATACGAAAATAAGTGCTTTTATCGCATAAAAAAATAAGAACACAATTACTTCACAAATGTTTTGGTATAAAATACTTTATGAAATAGCAAATTAAATTGTAAAATCAAAAATATCAGATAACAAAATATAGAATCTTGAAAAAAGTCCTGGGGGTATTTCAACATCCAAAATCACTCTTGTTTATTCCTCTGCAGCGTGCCAATGACATGTGCAAAATGCAAACATTGTAACGGCCTTGCCGTTGTACAATATTGTTTGCCTTATTTATTTACTATTATTACCTAATTTATACTGAGAACCTACAGAGTTACTATTGTATATCTAAAACATTCACCCATTCGAACTTATATAATCTCAAGCAAATATTGTCTACAACCATCAAGTGTTAATTATCATGCGTTTACGTTACCTTTAGCCTAGTCATTTCTTTAGATAGTTTGATGATTTCCCTTGTACCGAGAACATTGATATCGATTGCAGTGCGTATGTGTTCATCGAATCTGATCGTAGCTGCTGCGTGGAATACAATATTCACTTGTTCGGCTAACAGCTGTCGGTCGCTTGGAGATATACCTAACCCTGGCAAGGATATATCTCCGGCAATCGCAGATATCTTGTGGTAAAACTTCGGCCTCTCATGTTTTATTCTCTTAAACAACTGAAATATTAAGAAAAATAAATTAATATATTATTCATTGGTTGATGATTATTCAATTTGTACATAAAATAATTCGATACTGTCAATCTTATTCAACAAACAAATTTTATATTTTATATAGCAATTATAAATATAAAATGTAAGAAGATTGTTGATACATAGTACGTATAATTATGGATTAAAAAAATTGATTTGTAACATTATGTCATGTCATTAATTTAGTAAATTTCATCAAAAAACTGAATTTTTTGATTTATTCTACAATATAATCAATTTTATATTGTTTGATATTATTATTTATAATTATAATTAATTGATTGTATGATTACAAGAGCTCTATAATATTATAGTGTCAATAAGAGTCGTATAATAAATTATTTATTGTTGGTTTTTCAATTCTGTATGCATAAAACGTAGATGGGACAGTAAATAACCACTGCAACATCAATTTGAATTTCTATGACCCCATTCAGGAGACTTCATGTGCATTTTAAGTACCTTATACCATTTGTTTATTTATTTTAACTAATGCATCCATTGCATAATTGAGAGAACTCTAAAATATTTTTATGCGATGACGCGTGCACAAGATTTCTTAAAATTTGATAAAGATTTGTTTGATATATAAATGTTATATGATGTACATTTTTTTGAGGTATAAAAAGAGTTTGTTGGATACAAAAATATTGGCTTTAAATTGGCAATAAAATAAATACTTGTCGTGTAATCTAAAGAAACGTTTTGCTTGTACCAAGTAAACACGATGGAGATGTTTAGTAGGTGACCTTGGTTCGAAAAATATTTTTCCTTCAGTTACACAAAATAGGTTTTCATAATCATCAAGTATGTTGTAAAATATAACCGATCTGGTTTTATTCACGGAAATGACGTATTTTTATGTCATGTGAAGAAAACAAGTTCCAAATGTTTCATACGTAATTATCATATTCATTTATAAACGTGTTTAGATTCCGAGTAGAGAGAAAATCGTTGGTATTATTTTTTTTTATGTGCGTTTTTTGTTTTTTCAAAAATTATGAAGGAATAGTAAAATCTTTTACGTTGCATTTTGCTTTATTACTCATTAGTTATATAAGTTATATAATAGTAAACGTTAAGAAGGTACTTAAAAATGAATATTTCTTAATTTATTATTATTGAAGTCTAAAAAAAAACGCCGTACTTAAAACTACGTAAAACCAAAAAATAAACAGCATATTCGCATTTGATGAAACTTAACTATCATACATTTGAAGCAATTTTTTCAATGCAATCATTTATCATAGTTTTCTGACTGTTAAATTGTCCATTAATAATATAATCCATTGCAAACTAGCATTGTACTGTTATATATTACTGCAGTTTTTGTACATTGTCCGTATTTCTTTTTTCGTTTTATAGAAATTACTACACCATTGAATTTGATTTTTTTAAATAATTATCGTATGTATTTTATAAACATTTTAAATTACAATTTTTTATAAAACGCATTAACATACTTATGATTAAAATTGGCATATTTATTTAAATTCTATTTTCTGAAAATATTTATATTAAACATTATTATATAAAAATAAATATTTTTGGAGAAATATATAAACTATCATACTTCCATAATATAAATTAATTTAACATAATATTTATATGTTAGAATAACTTTAAGTTGTAATGCACAAAAGAAGTAAATAATCAATAAAACAATGAACCTAATAAATCAAGAAAAAGTTAAGTTTATAATTTATTTTCATTTACACGAGAAAAGTAAAACTGAAATAGTAAATAATATAGTTTGATCTACTATAAAATATATTGATGATTGATATGTTGATATTTATGGATTTGAATTAATAGAAACATTTTTATTTAAATTTATGAAAAAACATATTATATCTTTATATAAAATATCGATTTAAATTTACCCCGCTTTTAGGGACATAACTCGTGTATTCAACTTTTATCATTGGGACACAACTCGTGTACTAAAATTTAGTCGGGACACAACTTGGTAACTGCGGTTTAATGTTTCAGAGTTAATAGATTAAATTTAAAAGTTGAAATTATCATCGTAAATATGGTATTCAATTTAAATAAGCAATTAAAAAAGTTCTTACCCTATCTTCAAATATTGCATCGATACGTTCATTAACAGCTTTTCCTTTTTTGTTCCTAATCAACAAGTAGATGTGCTTGAGCTGTGGACATGTTCTGCTGAGTTTTTCAATCAACATTTTCCCCATGAATCCAGTTCCTCCAGTAATGAAAATGGTAGCATTTTTGTAAAATTCCTGTACATTTGATCCTTCCTGATTTTCAAAATCCACAAGTGTAGTAGGATCATCGAAACTCTTTTCCCCGATTAATTGCAATGGATCTAATGGAAATTCTTTAGTCACGATGTCCTTCATTATTTCGTCATAAGTTTTTTTTGGTTTTTTGAGTTCATTATCTCGGCATAGATCTAACGCCATTTTCGTGTTGAATTTTTTATTAAACGGTGTCTTTAGATATTATTAATGAAATAATTTTTGGAATTTTTCCAATTCTTGTACTTTATTTACTATTTTATTTATTTTGAACTACAAAAAAATAAAATAAAAATGTTAATTTAAACACATTAATACGAAATATGTATACACAATCGAGAAAAAATATTTATTAAAAAAACTCGACTACGGTTTACTTATTGTTAAAAAAAATATCACACTGCACGACCGTTAAGGTCTAAGCACTTGTGTATACTATGAATTAAAACAAACGTCTGAATACAATACTGGTAAGATCGTTTAAATATATATTTTTATTGTCCTTGAATTGTGCGCCACATGTTCTTTTTGGAGGTTGTTGACCGTGGGATGACTTCCTAATTCATCACCCTTAACCTGTTGAGCAGATACTTTACTTGGTCAAGGTTACGCTTTTTTTCTGGTTTTAGTTTTATTTTGGTATTTAAAATATCTGTACCACGTGATATACTAAATCTTTGAAATATTAATTACAATAACTACTGACTACTTTTGTTGATTATGGGTATAAGTAGAGACCGAGTTTATATGCGTTTAAAATCTTAAAAATCAGATGCTCTTATACTCTGTAATTTGATCAAAATAATCTTTTATATGTATATATATATTTTTTTTTTTTTTTTTTTTGGGAAAATATGATTTTTCATAAAAATATATAAAAGTAACAGTTTAAAAAAAATATAAATTTTTTTTCATTAAAGAAATTTTAATATAGTTAAAAAATATTTAATCTATACTATGGAGATATACTAGTATATATTAATTTTATATTTTACATATGTGATTGTAGCACATAGTCACATAGTACCTGAAATTGAGATTTATTTCAAAATAATAAAAATAACATGTTTTAGAAATAAAAATTAAAACAAACTGCATAAAAGTATCAAAATATAGTACCTATTAATACACTTCAACGAGCACTTACATGTTCAAGTTTAATAATGTAACCGAATTGGAGCATTTACTCGTATAATACACAACAATATTACGACAATATCGTGCAGTCACAAGTCACACATGAAGAGCACCATTTATCTATGACCGTTCTACGTGTACAAAAGACCAATTAGTATTAGTCACGAATTAAGATCTATCTAAATTCATGGTAAAAGGTTTATGAATCTTTAATCAGTGAAGTTTTTCTTTTCATGTATCATCTTTAATGTACCATCAATTGATAGGAAAATGAATCGTTGAAAATGTTTATTCAATAGGAGTTGCATAATCTCAATAAAATTATGTAAAAACAAAAAATCCGGTCTCTAGTTAAAAGGCTATTAATTAATAACTGAAGTTAAAGTTATTTAAATTTGGTCTTAAATGTTGATAAAATTATATTATATTCTAATCTATTGTTCTAAAGTGCTATTGGGAAACAAAATATAGTTTTCTTCTTTGTTAATAATTTTAAGAAATCCAAATATTTTTAAGAAAAATTAAAATAATTAAAATATTTTTATATAATATTTTTCTTAATTTTAATGAACTTTTAATTTATTATAGCTCTATTTACCGTATTTATTGGTTCATATTTAACAAATCAGCTATTTTATTTGAAATATTATTTGTACGAACAAGATTAATTCTAACAGCTATTATTTCGTTATGAATTAAAATTATTTAAATTTGTTTAAACATAATCAGGTTTTCTCACTTTCTTAGAATGCAACCGTATGGTTGTTTTTTTTGTCGAATGATCCATACTGCTTTACGAGGAATTTCAATTGAATTATAATTTAATTGTAATCAACTCTTATAAATATTCAAATTATTATTATTTTAATAATTCTCTTTAATCAAAATAAACAATTATAAAATTTTGTACAACTTATAAGAATACTTCGATGTTCTTTCAAATTTGTATGACTTAATTCTTAAAATAGGACATAGGTGAACGTAGGAAAAATGTCGAGAGGGGTTTTGAAAAACTATATAATATAAAATGTTGATAAATAGCATGCTTTATTACTCATCGTATAATATATATATATATATATATTATTTGAAAATTTCAAGAGAAACTTAAAAATAACTGTGAAATGTATAGATCAGATAATTTCTTTTCAAATTTTTTCTGATGTTCCGTGGAAGGGTTGAACCCTCCCCCTTATATTCATGCAAGAAGTAGGACATTATTTTCCTGTAAATAATGTTTTAAGGTTTAATTATAAAAATTTTCTTTTTTTTTATGCTTGTAAAATAAATATTTTTTAATCACATAAACGGAAAATTCATCTGAATTATATTTAAATGACGTTAAACTAATAAATAATTATATTATTAAATGTACAGTAGTATTAAATATAAATGTTTACATAAAATATGTACATAAAGCAATGAGTTAGTCTGACGTCATATTGGTTAATTGTTAAGTCCATTTCAACGCTCCTCTTCCTCAAACTAAATTCCAAAAATAATATTAACTCACTCAGCAAAAACAGATAAGAACGGTTATAATCAGATATTAATTTATGTTGGTATAAACCAGCGGTAATCACACATAAAGTATAGTTATATACTACTTGAATTACTTTCAAATCGTTCAGTGGCGCCGAACCTTTTACATATCACTGGAGTAAACTCTACTTTTGGGTACTCACCCCCTCAACAAAAAATCATAATTAAACAGCAAGTATTGTATACCAGTGAATTAAGAGTATTTACTATCTATGTACGATAAGTAAATTATCGTACATAATATTATAGAATATTTTATCATAAAATAATAAAAATAATATATCACTCATTAAGTCATCTAGTTAAAAAAGTTCCGGGGTATTTACCCCACTTCCTATTTGTGTACGGTGGCACAGTGTTAGATTTTGCTGGTAACTCTGAACTTTCTGATCAAGTTTTGAATTTAGGTACTCCTTATCAAATATTTGGCTACTTTATTCCTAACAATTTTTAATTGAACTTAATTTATTGATTTAATATAATTTAATTGATATATAAACGTTTAAATAATTTTAAATTTTAAAATTATTTCAAAGGACTTCAAAAAATATTTAAAACTATCATACAACCTTATTCAAATATTATGCGACTTATTTTTATAATAATAATTGTAATGTACATATTAACTTTGACCAATTTAAGGTATCTTTTTTCTTACAAAATTGTATTAAAATATTGTAGTTTTTTTTTAATTATAATGTTGTTCTAAAGCAGCAACCAATTTTTTAAACTTAAAAATTTTAATTAGTTCTATCTATAAGGTTAGATCTAACCAAAAATAATTATTAATAAAAAATAAAATTATATATTGTAGTGTTATGTAATAAATGTACGATCATTCGTATGTGCATCGCCTGCACACTAATGCGCATCGGGTCCGGTAGTATTTGCTCCATTCGGTTCCGCTGTTATAATTATCATTTTTTATAACAATTTAAATACCGAATATAGAAAAAATAAATAAAAATAAATATATCATATACAACATAACCATATACGAGTACTATAAGGTTGAATAAATTTTAATGTAAAACAATTATATGAATATTACGTTAAGTTTTATGACTCATGAGTTTTAAAACAAAATATATTTTTATTTATTTAATATTTAATGTAAAATCATTAACTATTAATAATTTCATAAAACAATTAAATGCATAAATACTAAGTAGAACGTATCAAGATCCATCTTTAAGCTCTATGTATATTAAATTACATTTTTCGATTTATTAATTATTAATTACATTTCGAATAGGCCTAGTGTTTTTTGATTTTGTACTTGAATGCAAAAAAATTAATATTTCATAATTTGGCCTTAACTATGTTTACTCTACTATAGCGATTCATAATTTTTATGGTCCTTGACCCTCCCTAGAGTTACTCGACATTCGTGAGGGAGGTATGTATATTATACATATGTCAGTATACTGACGCGGTGCGCGGGCTGATGGTGACACGTGTCACGAGTGAGGGCGACGTGCAAAGATCGCAGAAAAAGAAGAAAAAAACGGAATATTGCAACGATAATAATGACACTGTTGACACCAAAAGTTGCTTTTATATTGACAAAAGCAGGTTCGCAATGAAAGTAAAAAAAAAAAAAAAATATGTGCGGATATACAATGTGACTCCGTACGCGGTGTCGGAAAAACAGACCGGTTCAACGGTGGTACCGAGCGGATGTCGTCGCGATCGCTCGCGTCCCCTGTCCGGTGATGGACAGAGGACGAGGTGTCACGACGCCGTTGCGTGCCGCGGTCTGGCGGTTGACGAGAGAGACGTCAATACTTGTATGAGAACGTTATTCATTTATGATAAAATTAGTAATATGATATTACTAATATCTTTTACGAATCGGAGTGTAGGTTGTTTTTTTTTTTTAGATTTTCTTAAATATCCTCAAAAATTGCATAAAGTTTGTAATATGTATTTTCCCTCTACATCACGGTAATGGCGGCGTATGGCTGTTCAGTGTGTAGCGAAAAGATAAAACCTTAAATGAGTAGTAGAAGGCAAACAAAAGGCTGCACACGCACACGCGTGATACCTATGTGGCAGGACATTGTACTTACAGGTGATCGTCATTACACGTGCAATGGGTACCCGAGTTTCTAGCTAATACAGGGTTCTATGGCCCGGTTGATAAAAAAAACACCCTTGCGTGTCCGTGTGTCTTAATAACACTGTATCGTAATTCAATTGTGTACAAATTTAACAGTGGATTTTAATACTCGGGGCCGCCGAGAGCTTTTGTTGGCCCAGAGGCTGATTGACCGATGAGGCATTTTACTTATAACTATTTGATTAAGATGTACTAAGAGATATACATACTACAGCGGTATGATACTGCTATTTAAATTTAATAATAAGTGGATAAAAAAAAAAAAAAAAAAATGTTTAAGTATACATTGTACAGTATATTGTTTGATCAAAATAGTTTATTAGGTGAATAAAAAACAAATGAAATCATAATATAAAAACACTATAACCTATATGATCAGGTTGGGTTTTCACTCAGATAAGTATTATAATATATTAATATATTTTATATTATTTAGCACTAATACA